CAGTGTGTGAATGGATGAATGAGAAACTCATTGTCGATCATAGATGAGGTTTAAAAAGTATTATGCTGTCTGTTTGTGGACGTTTAACTTTTTATTATTTTTAAAAATCCGGTGACTGTTGGTGACGCATTTCCACTTAGACCACAGCAACAAAAATGAACCAAACACCCAACGAACTTTACAAATGTGGGCCTTTAAAAGTCATCCAAAAAATTAATGAATACACCCAGACAAGCCCCCAGTTTAGCAATGGCTAAACATAACTCATTTTTCCATTTGCATCTGGGTAATTAGCATAATTTATCATGTGCATGTAACTGTAATATGCAGGGATAAACATAGCTTATGCACATGTATGCATGTGCTAGGAATTATGTATGAGCACCAGCTCCTTTAGCATGTCCCTCATTTGCACACCCGTGTTAAGCTGGTATGAGCTCTACCACTGATGTGTGTTTCCCAAACTTTACGTTTAAGTAGTAATACATCTGTTAACCAGGGGTCTTGAGCTCTGGTCCCCGAGGGCCACTATCCAGCATGTTTTAGTTGCTTCTCTGCACCAGCAGACTTGATTCAATGGTTGAATCACCTGTTCAGCCAGTTAATCACCTGCTGATTAAATCCAGGTGTGTTGGAGCAGGGAAAACACTAAAACATGCTGGATAGTGGCCCTCAAGAACCCGATTTCTAGACCCCTGCTATTGAGACTGCAGCTTAAAAGCCAGTCACATTAAAACTGGGCTGCCTGCGAGTGCTTTGGGATGGAGATGGGACCCACAGGAGCACCTGCTGATGATTGAGGAGAGGTTGGGGTCACCATTAACACCAGAGAGGTCATTAGACTTATTGGCAGTTACCTTTTCAGAGCAGATAATTAATAAAATGGGAAAAAAATAATAAAAGAATAAACAGATCTCTCGGAGCCGGACGGAAAACGATTTGCAAAAAAATTGGTGGAAAAGAAGGAAAGTGACTCGATTATTGCAATAATTTAGCGTGGCAGGATAAACAAGTGAATTTTCAATCCTCTGGGAATCATATATATAATTAAAACGGTACATTTAATTAAGTGTAGATATTAATGTGAAATAATTGACCCATCCCTTTGGGGAGCGGTGAGCTGCAGACACGGCTGTGTTCGGGAACAATTTGGAGGTTCAAGCACCCCGATCGAACCCCTGAATGCTGAGTGTCGGGCGGGGAGGCACTGGATCCCATTTTTAAAGTTTTTGGTATGACCTGACCGTGGATTTGAACCTACGATCTCCCAGTCTCAGGGTGGACACTATACCACTACACCGCTGATCTGGGCCTAAAACAAGATGAGCGGCAGATGCTTTTTCCAGTGGACCACCAATCCCAGTGTTTGAGTTGGAAAGAAAAGAAAAACAAGTCAGAAACCCTTGGAAGTCCTAAAGGTGAAATTAGAAAAAATGGCAATATCATTAGGAATTTTTTTATAAAGCTGAATTCTCGTCACCAAAATAGATTTCCAGAACAGATATAAAAATTCCCATTGAACCAGTATGAAGCATCGTTTCCACTCTGCTGGAATGCATCCAGCTCAAAGACGAACTGACAGTCAGCATGACTCAGAACGGCAACGCCTCAAGCAAGTCTGCAGACTTCCAGCCCAAGAGAAAAATGGATGAGGAGAGCAAAGAGGAACGGAGGTGAAGAGGAGAGATGCGACATCTCCACCAGATGACTTCCTTCTACAAACGCCAGAATATTTCAGACCATAAGGTTCAAACAAACTTTATTTAAATAATTAACACACTCAAAGAGTGTATGGTGAGTTTCTGAAACATCACTCATTCATCTCATTCATCTGCTGTTGTTCATTTAAAGGATTTTTGGGCCATTTTCAAGGGATTTTCTGTGCCAAGGCTACAAATAATTGAAAATTGTTGATAGCTTCCTTGTTGGACAACGCTTGGAGGAATGAACGTACCATTACCAAGCAGTGATTAAAAAACAGATGTTTTTTTTCCAAGGTAGTAAACCATCTTTAAGTGTAATTCACCCCAGAAATGACAGATCTTTAGAAGGAACTGGTTTTGGACTGGTTTGAGAAAGTCCCACGTCCCTCCCAGCGCCTTAAATCAATCAATCAATCCGTACTTTAAACTGAACCTATCCTGTGGGAACGATTGTTTCAAAACTTTTGTGAGTTTAGAAGAAGAAGAAAATCCATCCTTTTCCAAAATAAAAGACTTGAGTACCTCTATCTTCTCGCGTCTCAATGAAAAGCCCAAATCTAAATCTTCCAAATTTGATGCTTAAGCCTTTTCAAAGGAGAGCCGTTCCTGAACCGATGCCATCTTTGTAATTTTAATCTGCCACAGCTCTGGTGGTAAGCTCGCCCTACATCTCTCTACAACCGTAGAGCGCTGTGATTGGCCAGACCTAAAACTGTTCAGTTGCAGACGTGCTGAGGCTATGGAGCAACTAGACCGACCTGCAGAGCAAAATCTTTTGCTGCTGCAACGCTTAGTCTAGATTTCTAGGCTAGCCGTGACCCTGAAGAGCATCAGGCGTGGGTGGATGGATGAGATGTTTGTTAGAAAGCAGCTAATCAATACAAGCTTGTTTTCTTTTTACTTTCCTCTTCTAAATCAGGTGCGGACATTCTTATACACGGCTTTTGCCATGTGCATTTGTGTGTTTTTCCCGGCGCTAAAGCGACGGGCGAGGCAGCCAAAGAAAACCTCTGAAGTCCTGTGAGCAGTGCTGACTAGGCGTTCCCCTGTGTATCGATCACAAACCTTATCAAAGTAGACAAGAGGAGGATTTAAAGCTCGAGTGCAGAAGATATAGATGGATCAAACGCCACGATTCCACCTCTGCTGTGCTGTGCGTGTGTTTGAAATGCTCTTTAGATTCTTTCAGGTTAAAACTGGACGGGCTGATAAATGTTTGTCACAAACTACATGTGTGCATATTTCCTCTCACGGATGCGGAATTGATGCACACGACCTCTCCTTGAAACGCCTCCCTGACACTTAAACGAGGTAGTGAGACGTTAAACTGTGTTTTGCATGCTGTCCCCTCATCGGCACAGAGAGCTAAAGCTCAGCGAGCGCTAGTGAAGCACAGTCCCGCAGCGCAGCGAAGGAAAAATCTTTTTAGACTAAATAAGAAATGCGTTTCTTGACTCTGAGCCCAGAAACAGTTACGAGATCATCATACAGTAATATTGTACACGTTGACATAGAGTTGCATGGATTATCCATGCCATTACTGTAGATGAACGCAGAAGCAGGCTGAAACATTATGCATGACTTTATTTCCCTACACTAAACATGCAGACCCTCGGGGGTTTAGAGGAAAGCCGAGAAACTCCAGAGGAACCAACTACTGATGATGCTTTTGAGATGATGCTTGGAACCACATGGGCTTCATTCACATCAGCTGACTTCACGTTAGAGCAGCTAAACGAACACATGCTGCCAGCTAGTCCTTCCCATCCAGCTGTTCGTTGATTACGTTAATCCAGACCACGTTGGCACAACGCCGGTCTGCACGGAACACCATCTGAACGCCATGAACAAAACGGCCTCCCGTTAACATAAACGTATTCATCCCGTGATAAACTTTTAGAACTGTGTGTTACATCAGGACAAGTGGCTCTGGATGGAAATGGAAAGTTAAAGAGCAAGTCACCCCCAAATCAACCTTTTTTCCTGATAAACTATATAAGTGCGTGTCTAATCGTGCTGCAGACACGTGTAGTCAATAGTTTTGCACTTTAGTGCATTTTAGTTGCAATTTAAATGTTCTGCCTAAAACTGTCAGTGTTGTGCCATTGTCAGGTAAAAACTCTGCACTGCATTTGAATTTAAATCTGCCATCGCTATTGGCTAAGAGGTACCCTAGAACGTTAGCTGGTACCATATGATGTCACAATGTCGTTATGAGCCTGTGTGTGTGTGTGTGTATTTGTTAGCGGCTCCGCCCTCTCGGTCTGCTAGGCAACAGCATTTGTTGCATTTTTCAAACGGGAAGTGGGAGTGCAGTAATACTCTGGTAGGGGGTGACTTGCGCTTTAATGTTCAACTGGGAATTTTACACACCTGGCTCAAATGCCTTCCCACACAGGTGGAACGGCTCGGCACGGGGCCGGTTGGCGGGTTTACTGGCTTCTTCTGCTGTAGTTTAAACCACTGAGCAGTAGGTGGCTGTGCGCATGTGTAGCACACGTCTTCTCACATCGTTACATTCAGATCGGCTGTAACTCGCAGCTCAGCGGACCCAGAGCTGCCAATGAGTCAGGCTCGTCTCGGACCAGAAATTTCCCTCACAAAAACCTACACACACTCTAAAATGTAGGGTTGTTGTTAGAGTTTTCTTTTTTTTTGCTCTACTTTACGTTGCAACTAGGGATGCACAATACATCGACATCGGTATCGGCAGATGTTAGTCATTTTTTTAACATACTGGTATCGGCCCGATAAATAAAACTAGGCCGATATTAACAACCGATATTTTTTCCATCTTGTTTCCATTTGTTTATCAGCTTCAGAGGGTGAGGGGGGTGATGTGTATTTGTTCAGTCATGTGACAGGGATTGTAATCATCTCAGAAGCGTAAATGTGCGTGGTGTTTATACATAATAACGTCAATTTAGCTTTAATAATTTTTATTCTGTACAAAATTTGATGATTTTAGAAGCAATAATGTCAGTTTATCGATTTTGGCAAATATCGGTTATCGGCCATAATGGTGATATTAATGTCGAATATCGGTATCAACCCAAAAATGTCATATCGGTGCATCACTAGTTTCCCACGTGTCTCTGGTGTGAAAAATAACAAGGTTCACGTCATTAAAGGTTTCAGGATGCCAGCAAAGCTCAGAATGTTGGACTCCAACATCATTTTAACTAATTAGAACTTTTCAAGATCCCGTTTTGCTTTATTTTTTCACCATCATAGCAAATAGCATCTCAGGTGTGTTGCTTGTTTGTGTTATTGAGGGTATTTGCTTTCTCTCTGCAGAGCTCCATGTATTCTCTGGCCCTGAAGTGTCTGATCAGCCTGTCCACCGTTATCCTGCTGGGACTCATCATAGCCTACCATGCCCGAGAGGTTCAG